GGCAGTACATAATGAAAAAAAAGAATCCTGGTTCTATAGTACTATATCTAGTTTAGGTGTGTGCACAGGGTCGCTTTCTTAGCTACAGTAACTGTTGCTTCAACGAAACACCATGACCATAGCAACTTGGGGAGGAAAGGGTTTTTCAGCTCACACTTCCACACCACTCACTGTTGATCAAGGACAAGAGCTCAAACAGGGCAGGAGGCAGGAGGCAGGGCAGGCGATGGAGGAGTACTGCTTACTGGCTTGCTTCATATGGCTTGTTCAGCCTGCTTTCTTATAGAACTCAGGACCACCAGCTCTGAAATAGCACCAACTACAATGGGCTGGCCCTTCCCTATTAACCTTAGGTACCTCTCACTCCTCTGTTCTAAAACAAAAACAAAAACAAAAACAAAAACACCTCAATTTTTTGTAAAGTAAAAGCAGCAGTTCCAACAGAAGAGCAAAAACATCTTCAGTTCCCCAAATGAGCACAGGTTTCCTCTGGCTTTCTGCCTCTGTTTTGCCTCTCACTGCCGGTTTTAACCTTTTTCTCAGACAGCAGCATCAATAGTCCCTGTTACCTTGGCAACAATGATAGGCTAATAGAATTAGAATGCCTGGGGGCTTCATCATGCTCTCGGGACAAAAGGAAGCAATACAACTGTAAAATTGCATTGTAATTTATAAGAACCTCGGTTCTGGTGGCTATTCGTTTTTAATTTATGTCATTTCCTGGTACAAGGTTTTGCATGTTAAAATTTTAGTTATTTAAAAAAAATCAGCCATAAAATAACACAAGAAGTCTGTGTTAAGTTAGAGATTTTTGTATATAAGTTTATCAATAGGATACTCTCTAATAAGAGTATTCTCATTTTACTTAAAGGTTTGGAAATTCTACACTTTCTATGAGTCTATCCTAAGCACAGGAAACGAAATGACATTCTGAGGACTTGGTCTCCCAAGCTTCCAAATTCTGGTCTGGAAAAACTGCTTTTTGTTTCTGTGTTAGCTTTCTGTTATCATAATAAATATTGGAGCTAACCATAAAGAGCAAAGGTTTCCGTGGCTCAGAGCTTTGGAGGTTTTAGCTCATAATTAGCTCATGGCTAGTTACCAGCTTCTAGTGTTTTCAAAAACACTAGAGAAAAAACGTGAACAGCGTATGTGATGCCTAAAAGTCTGCAGCACATCGTGGGATGCTACATTTACGGTGATTCAGGGTGTTGCAAATCCACGGACATGGCTAAAATGACTATCCACCACACAAAACTGTAACCAGACATAGAAGAGTGGTGAGGAGCAAGTTTTTTCAAATCAGGACAGTCTTAACAATTCTCTTCTGATGCTGTTATGTCTCTATAACTAAGACATTGTTGGATATCCCAGTAACAAAACCTGACACAAACAAGGAACATTCAGGCTTAGCTCCATCTCCTAGGTTAGTGTTTGTACTAGTAAGTGAAGAAAAGATATTTAAGAATTGGATTTATATATAATAGTAATTTTCTTAGTTGTCCTTCTTTGATGTATAGAACAGCCTCAACTCTGCAGAACTCTAAAATTTATGCTAATTACTTTAAATGAAAACATGCCATTGATATTAAGCATACCAACACTTGATATGTTCCTGGGTTGGTAATATGACTTGTTCCATGACTTCAGGTTCTAGAGAGGAAATTAAAGTCTAGGCTTGGAAGGGAGAGCCCTGGTTTTTTGCTTTGGTGTTTTTTTTTAAACATAATATTTTTTGATTATTTGTGAATTTCACAAGGGTGGTTATGTGGACCTGGGAGAGTCCTGTTTTAAGAAGAGCTTTATAAAATGAGAGCTATAGTTGTCTTCAACCACTCTGATGTTCTTAATTTTCTGAGAAAGCCTACTGTTTTTTTCTTTAAGGACATTTACATATATTCCCACAGTTTTGAAGGTACCTCCATCTCTGCCTCTCAAGTTTTTGCACATCAGTATCTCTTAATTTTGGTAGACTCCAGCATAATGCTTACTCTTCCTGAAGGCTTCTCATTTACACTTGGTCTAAAGGAGAATTCTGCACAATGTCGTTTTTCATCGAATCCACTTTTGTATTTTTTGTCATTCATTTTTACATTTTCATTTCTAAATTATATGCTATCAGTTTACCCTAAAACAAGGATCATGTTTATTCACCTATGTAGACTAGATCCAGAAATTATGATATTTAGTAGGTGCTCAATAAATATTGCTAAATGAATAATTACAAGTGTACATATGAAGGAAGTAAAAGAAATTCATGATGAGGAAACATACAGGGCTGTCAAAGGATTGAAATGTGACAAGCAATAAAAGTATCCTTGAAAATGGATAATGAATAAGACAGTGGGTGGTTGCTAGAATGACTAGAAATTTTAGAACATCTTAAACATACATGCAACAAGTGTGTTATATGTACGTAGGTGCATATATGTGTATAATATTTTATAAATTATTTTAAGTGAGTCATCTCCCTTTCAAGGATGATCTGAGACTCAGAGTTAGCAGGGACTTTAGTAGGCGAATATTTACTATAATATAAAAAATAAGCATGTTACATCTTGACGCCCGGACTTTCCAGAATATACAGTAGCAAATGGGAAAAGTATGGATACTAGCATTATTAATTTGAATTAAATTGAATTCGTATTTCTCAGAATTAATGGCAGAGGAAGGTACTGTATGTTGTTAAATGAAAAGTAAGATTGTAAATGCAGTATGAATTTGCAGTTGACTCTATGGCCTTATATAGACACACACACACATATGTGTACTCACACATTATACTATAAATACATGATATAATTTCTCAAAACGTAATCATATGCACAGCAGTGGTGATGATAGTAAAGTTCTCTTTTACTCTGACAGGCTCAGTGTATTATCTTTAGTCTTTTAATAAGTGATTTTTTTCTTTAATAATATTTTTGTTAATTCTTTGAAAATTTAATACAATGCATTTTGATCATATTTACCAACTCTTTCTCTTAACTCCTCCCAGATCCACCACCATCTTGATACCCCAACAACTTTATCATGCCCTTTCTTTCCTTTTTAAATTTAATAGGCCATTGACTCTGGTTTGTGCTGTCCATGAACATCTGAGTGTGGGGCCATCCAACAGCAGCATGGCTGATCTACCAGGGTTACACTCTTAAAAGAAATGCAATCTCTCTTCCCCAGAATCCATTAACTGTCAATGGTACCTCAACTAGTGGTACAGAAAATCTAGTCAAGAACTCAAGGTGCAGGAGGTTGGGGAGGGAGCTCCCAGACCACAAGGGTAAACCTACCAACTGTTATTTTGATAAATAGATGTAGTATCAAACCCTCTATAAATTTATCTCTGTCTTCTCATAGGTTAGTTCACCTCTCAGACCTCATCACAGAAGTTTCTTTGTGCAGCAGATGGTAGTTGAAGGAGAAACTCACAACTGGTCCAAGTGCAGGGAGTCAATGACTACAGAGGGCTTAGCCACAAATGGTACCACATGGCTTCTGCGAGGCTCAGGGACCTTTGAAGAAAAGGGGAAGAAAGAGGATAAGAACTAGAGGTCAAGGAGGACAGGAACAAAACAGTATCTTCTGGATATGTCAAGACTGAAGGCTCATGAACTCACAGCAGGTGTCGTTGCCTGCACACAATCAGTACATGACCAAGCCAATGTGAGAAGGGGTGGTACTGTCTCAGTATATGTTCTAAGGTTTCTCAGAGATTACAAACAGAAGACCCTCTGCCTTAACTGCTCTGGTCCGTAAAGGATTAATCACTTTTGCTCATATTTTAATGGCCAATGCTATCACTTTGTTACTTCTTTCCTTAAAAACAAAAAAGCCAAGCAATCCAGCCAAGCAATCCTCTACTCTACACACTGGAATATGCACAGATTTTCAATGTGTCCAGTGAGACTATTAGTGCCCTTTGTCTTCCATCTTTTCTGTTAAGTATTTTCTGAATTTTAAAAAATAGTATAAATAAGAATCTTAGGTAAGAACTTACAAAAATGACCATAAAATGAAGTAGGGGTTAGTTGACTCTTCTCTTCTCTGGGATGCAGATAGCTTACGATAGTAACATTTCAGCACAAGCTTACAACTTGAAAGGCTCCTTGTGTGTTGCCAGGGTGATAGAAAACACACCAAGCAAAGACAGAGGACCTTCTCTACGTGGGAGTGACTGGAAGGAGAATCTATCAGTGCCCATCACCGGGATCACTGTAGCTGATCTGGCAGGCTTGGAGGATTTTCCATTCTTCCTTTGTTGTCCCACATCTCCTTTCCAACCCCCTCCCTGGATCAGAAAGAATACTCCCTGCTAGCAGAGTAGGAACACAACCATCCTCAAGTTCTCAATTTTACAGTGCGTTCAAAGCTTGCCTTGAGCGAAGTACCACGAATATGAAGATGTATTGAAAATTCGCCTTATGCAGTGGTGATGCAGACTAACCAGCAACTTAATTAGAATTAACCCTGCTGGTTGTGTGTGGGTATGTAGCATGCTCACCGTCCCTTTGCCTGGAGAGAATGGGAGAAGAAACAAGCACTCAGAGAAGACTGGGTTCCTGTATCCTACACATTTGATTCTACATTATATTTCTGACCTCTATTCGAGACAGTAAACTGTAGAGTTGTTTCTGCTAAGATCGTTGCAGCACCATTCATTTGCTTCGACATTCAAGCCTTTTATGTCTTTGACACAGACTTATTTTCTGTCTCATCTCAGGCCACTTTCTTGCACTTGGTCTGTCAGAGTCCACCATGGATGTTTAATATTTAAAGGCTGGGATCGTTTTGCAGGTTTTAGTTTAATGGTAACCATAGCACACATGCATATCCATTATTGATAGCCAAGGCACACTTCATGTCCTTGGGCCTCCTCTTTTCTTTCGCTGTCACAGGAGGGCTACTGCCCCTGGAATTCAGCTCTGCTGCTGCTGTGGCCAGGGGATGAACTGACAGCAGATCCATTATGGTGTAAGCTGTTCATGTGGGTGGAAGTGACCATGCTAAGAAGAGAAACAAAGCCAGAAAGTGACAGGCCACGGAAAGTCCGGTTTCGGATTGCCTCATCTCACAGTGGGAGAGTTCTGAAAGAGGTCTATGAGGATGGACAACCACCAGGCTCCCTGGATTCCGAATGTGCCAGTGTCTGTGGGATAGATGGACTAAGTGACTCTGACAGACAGCAAAATGGCCACATTGGATCAGAAGATAGCGACCATGAGAAAGACCAGGATAACTTGCTGGTATTAGCCAGGACAGCCAGTGAGAAGGCCTTTGGTACGAGAAGAGTCAACATTTTAAGCAAAAATGGTACAGTCAGAGGCGTCAAATACAAAGTGAGTGCTGGCCAAGCTCTGTTTAACAATTTGACCAAAGTGTTGCAGGTAAGTCATTACACTCTCCTGTTCTGAGCCTTGCTCCTCACTCACCATCTCAACCCCTTTCAGTTCTCCAGGGTAGAGTCAACATCTTATTCCTCCAAACTTCATGGGACACTTTCTAACTAAGACACTGTGTGCATAGCCATCCATTAAAAATAGGCTTATTGTTCTTGGAAAACTAGAGTGCCTTCTCATAACCAAATTTCTAACATGTAAGTGATCTCCTCCGGTGTGTGAAGACCAGCACAGGATCTCTCTTAACAAAGAAAGAAGATGTCAGACTATAACGTTTAAAGCATTTCTTCAAAACCTAGATGTTAATTTCATTCTGGTCTATCATCCTTAAATCAGCATCATTTTCCACTTATATTGATATATACACCAGGTAAGGCAAAGTGTTAGCATTCAGTATAAATGAGTTCATTGTTACAATTATAAAGACATGATAAATGGGCATTCCTCCCATTTTCAGGGAAGGTGTATTTTTTGCAGCCCATTTTTTTGGGTTAATTTGCTCCTAATAGCTTTAAAGCAGTACTTGGAAAAGCTCTGAAAATACAAACAGCTTAAGATAGGCTGTGTTCTGCATATGAACATAGATATATGTGTTATTTAGATCCAGTGCCTTTGAAAATGATCTCATGTTCAGGAATATGTTTCAAATTTAGGGGAAGTATCAGTAGAATTATTTTGTTGTTGTTGTTAAATATATCAGCCCAGGAATAGTATTTTTTAATAATTACCATTAAAGTGGCAACTCATTTTTTTTCACTGTAATTCTGCTTTCTATTATTTTTAATATTTAAGTAAAATGACCTCTCATATTAAACTGTTCAGCGAGTCTCCATTCCATAAGTAATCAGGGATGATGGAAAGAAAGGACTTCAATCTGAATGTCACTCCAATACACGTTACTTCAAAGGAAGTTTAGAAAAGTTCAAATCATAAAAAAATATAAAAACAAATTTAGCTCTTAACTGGGGGGGGGGAGCATCTAGGAGTGGTGGTTATTTACATGTGTAGAACTTATTTATCCAAGACTTAATAGATGAAGGATGAGGTGAGGATCAAATTAAGAGACTGATGGTCATGCTTTGAGAGATAGGGGGTGTTCTTGCATAAATTTATAGAGATATGTCTACTCTGTCAAAGAAAACCTTACAAGAATTAGTTTCACCCATTATAAACATCACTAATGTCAAGGGGTAGACCAAGCTTCTGTATGACAATAGATTCTACAATGTGTGCATTCCCTGTGGTTAACTCAGTTTCTCATCATTTCAAGTGCCTTATGGTTTGAAGGTTTGTTCATAAAACTGCTATTTTAGTTTTAGTAGTTTGATTTGCATTTGCTTATCAGCCGTTCCAAAAACTGTCAGTTACGAATAAATATCACAGACTCCAAAACCTACAAGGGGAAGGTTTTCTCTCTCTGCCTTTACCCTAATAATGCTAAAAATGCACAATTGAGATGCAAAGAAAACTTCAAAGTGAAACTTTATCACTAAATTTTCTTAAATACCTGCATAGTTTTCTATGCATACCTGGGTAAACAATTTCATGAGAACAAATCCAGCAAAGTTGTTTCTGATAATCTCATCTACTCCAAGCTTTAAAATAATCAATATCTGCAGCCACAGGGTTTTGACATCTTTAATTTCATCATAATCATCATTGTCATAAAATGAATGTTTTTTTAGTCTCTCCAGGAAGAAACATAGGTTAAAGGAGCTTTGGCTTTGGCCCAAGGCTGCCAGTTGCACTACTCAAAGGGGCTTCATTCACTCCACTGAAAGAACAGTGTAGCTCTGTGTAATATGAGCAAAAAGCCTTTGGAGCATTGTGTGGAGAACAGATTTGATTCCTTGTTACTTGATAAAGAATGTGCTCATCACGAAGAGTATCCTGTATCTTGTCTTGGGATGATGGAGATAAGGAGGTGCACACAGGCCTCTGACAGTGGTAGAGAAGGTAGGAGAGAAACATAGAGGCTAACAGTGGAGGCTAATCATTCCACCACACCTATTCCCACTACCAGGTGCAGCTTCTTGGATCTGTATTTTCCATAAATTCCACAGCGTAAGCAGCAAACTTCCTGCATGTCACCATAACTTAGTGATTTATTTCAGGACTGGAAGTGAGTGGCTAGTTTCTTGGACATCTGGTTAAGGTTTCAATATACAGCCTGTCCTACTGAACAAGGAACTATGATGGAAGAAAGATCTTTCTTCATGTTTTAGGTTATAACATCTTAAAGCACTCAGTTTGAAACTTGAGCGGAAGTGCTAAGTAAAGATAAAACCATGAGAAGTACAGGCGAGACGCTTGGCTTCCTCTTTATTATTTCCTTGTGTGGTTACTCCTGCTCCAGAAAACATTAGCCTGTGCCAGAAAACATTAGCCCAGCTTTCCCAAAATGTGCAGAGACAAGTCGATTCAATGATCTTTTAAAACATTTTTACTTTTCTGTGCTACTTATTTAGAAACTTGTCTTTAAAGTGGATCTCTGACCTAGTTTCTATTCTGTTTGTTAGTTAAGTTATACCTCAGAATACTAGATACTGGAGGACACACAGTATTAATCAAGGTGATGGGCTAGTAACAACAGGAAGCCAAGAAACTGTGTTCACCCGGTGGGCAGGGGGACTTGGCAGAGGAATGGTGATCAGATGAATCATTCTAGAAATTCCAGTTGGTTTAGATTATAGGTCTTCAAGTCCATAGGCTGACTTTTTTTTTTAATCCTCCTCCATCCTCCCCACCCCCCCAGGTATCAAGTAGACAATGCTGAGTGAGGCATGAGGCTAACCTGGAAATCTGAAAAACCTCAAGTCTAGTTTTAGCCTGGAAACATGCATTCGTTAGAAACCCTTAAGCTAAAGTTTGGGATTTCCTTGTCTTGTTTATTCTTACATATGTGGAAGTTTGAAAATAATTCACCGACAGTGTGAAATGTAAATTTACCTGGGTCCCTAGGGTAAAAATAAGATTCCTTTCCATTGCTTATGCCATCAATATTTAATGGGAAAAATGAAGGAGACATGCATAGAGGTGAGATTTTTGATCAGATTAGGTTACTGGGAAGATCATCTCAGCGCTGAAGTTGAGCCATGTCTCCTCGTCATGGCTAAACTCATCATTTAGTTGACTTAGGATGGGTCCACAGGTGTTACCAATGCAGTCCAAGGCAGCTACCTCCTTTACAGCACCTTCTATTCTTCTTTAAGTATATTGCTCCATCTAGTAACACGATTTTACTCCCGATTAATGGAAGCATTTACAAAAACCCCACTACTTCTTCCTCTTCTTGCACCCCCCCCCCAAGCTAGTCAGTTATCCCATGCAAAACAAATTATAAGGTTGCTGAGTGACACACAGCTCTTAAGGCCCAGCTTGCATGATTAGATTGAGGTACTCAGTTTAATCCATTGTTTTTAAAAACTCGATTGATTTAGCTGCGATGTTAAAGTGTCTCAGTGTGGATCCGTGGTGCAGATAATTAAGGTTGTTTAGGCTTGTCATTACATTGTTATGGGTCTATATTTTAGATAGTTATCATTTCTTAACTCTATCCTCAAACTGTGTACGTATATTCTTGTAGAATATACCAGTTTACTTTCTATAATTTTAATTTCCTCTTGTCCAAATTTAAGACTATTAAAGAAAAATGACTCCAAAGAAGAATTTTGAATACATACATTCTGTCAGTACATATTACTTTATATCTCCTGTTAATGAAGCTGTACCTAGGGGCATTTTAAAGTTTTAAGACAAAAAAATGATATTTTGGCCTGGCAACTATCATCATGCATAGGGCTCTCTTGTATATTACTCTTACCTAAAAATCTTATTAAAGAAGCAAGAAAATTCTTAAATCCCCTGTGAAAATTAAAAAAAATCATTGTTTTTTTCATAATAATTGTTGAAAATATTATTACAACGCATGCAATCTATGCTGTTTGATAATGCATGTTCTTACTGTTACAGTTCAAGCACATGGTTCAAAGCTAATAATACACAAATTCTTACATTTGTTTTTTTTCTGCTTTTAAAAGCATAATATCAAATATAAAAATGCCCAAATTTACTTTTTAAAACTTCAAATGATGAATATATACATATGTATAATTTATAAGACTAAATATATCATGCTATGATATAATCTAGTCTTTTAAAATTTCATCATTAGGTTGTGAGGTTTTAAAGTTTATCATTGTTCTAATCTAGGGAAAGTCTGCAAAAATAGACTGCATTTATTCAGTTCTAGCAGTATATTAAAAAAAAAAAAACTACCAAAGACATTGTTTTTAATTGATTCAACTGTTGCGAGAGTTCACGTTTTTTGCCTCAAGAAAGCCCGATTTTCAGATTTTCTTTACACATAAATTAGTCACATACGTTTCTGGAAGTACTTTTATTCATCTCTCGTTCATGGTTGCTGGCCTGGCAGTATACTGTTATTCCCTGGAATACTCCTGATGACCTGTGTTCTGCATGGCTTCTTTGTAGCACTGTGTATAAGCATCAGCAATAATGCTTAATGCTGGTTAAGTAACGGCCTCAACACTAGGCATTACTCACATTACATATGTGTACTAACATATTAATTCCTCACAGGAATCTTACAGAGGAGTTGATACTAACAAATTACTTATTTTGGAACTCTTCTTTTTCCATATGAGAAAAATTAATTTGTAGAATTTAAAAAGTCATTTGTCCAGAAAAATTGTTACAGCCAACTTGCATGGATATAATAACCTTCTTAGTTATCAGGAATTGGGCATGGGCTTTAGGATATCTGATAATGATCCCAAATATTTTAGACAATTGCATCAAGAACACTCTTGACTTATTGTCTAAAAACCAGGAAAAACCAGGTTTCCAAATGAGCTGGTCCTGCTGATATATTAATTAAAGAATTACAGACCGATAGACCTTAGAGTCACATGATCAACTTTTCTTTACTCGGGTTTTTTTTTTTTTTTTTTTTTTTTCTTGAGACA